TTAATTCTTCCAATTTTTATTAAATATAATTTTTATTTACTTGAGCTATTAAGGTAATATTTTATATTAATAATCTAAATATTACTGTAGATCCCTATAAGTATTTTTATTGAAGTCTTAAGGAGTAATAATGAAGAGGAATATAAGATGAACTTAGCCATATTTTCAAATATCAATATCATTAAAATTTTTTTTAGCTGAATTCTGAAAATATAACGATGACATAAATTTAGGGATCTTGAGAATTAGGAAATAACTAATATAACGTAAAGATACACCTTTTTTAAAGGTTACAATGACATTCAAGAAGACCTACTTAATAACCAAAGCTTAATATACACAACACAATCCCTTATAGCAAACAATTCAAATTTACAAACTGCTCATTAAAAAATATGAATATGGGTTTATAAATGAATATAAATACTTTGATATGGTTTATCAAAGATATATGAATAAATACTTTTTTGATTATGCCCATTAATTGTAATCATATTTAATATGAAAAATATAAATAAAGACTCCTAAAAATATACTCACAAGTTTTATATGGTACAATTTTTTAATGTATTTTGCATAAAATTTATTTTTAGTTTTATAATCTGCAAATTAAAAAATAATTTGAACCCAATTTTTTTTTAAAACACCCTAATATTTAAAAAATATTAATTTATAAAATTTTCATTGCCTTGTCCTAATCTCAGGCTCATTTTTTTTAATAAATAAGAATTAAAAACATTTTTTATATTTATCTGGTTTCTTAAATTATAAGCCTCCTACAACTACAACTTTTAAGGCATTAATCTTTTTTGTTCAAATTTTATTTATTATACATGGATAAATACTGATATTTGTATTTAATAACTATGATCAATAGTCAAACCTTCTAATATTTAATATTATATTGTTCTAACTGACAAGAAAATTATTCTTTACCTTTCATAAAATAATTTAAAATGATAAATACAGGAAAAAAAATACTCAATCCTTTATAGCATGGAGGGGTGAGGGGCTATACATACTCTAGTTGTATAAAAAAATATTATTACCTATTTTTTTTGTATAAATTTTAGCTTAATATTTGTAGGTAAAGTGTATATCTGCAAAATAATTTTTAATTTTGTTTGATTATTCAGCATTTATAGTGGTGTAGCTTGGGATTGCATAGACCCCACCTAATTATGCCTATTATGTGGGTTTTCCACCTGATATTAAGATTTAAGCAATTATTTTTTTTTAATAAATTGGTTGATTGACTAATACTTGTATAAATAAATAATATATTATTTACATGATAGGTTACAAATATACTTTTATGCACAAATACAATTAGTTGACTAGATATATATTTATAAATGATTTGATAATATATTATTTACAGGATAAAACTATACTATAATGATAATTTAAATTTCTTATATAGATACAACCAATGAATTTATTTATTTCAGGAATAATAAATAATGGATGAAATAAAAGCCATTTGTCATTATAAAAAACGAAGATGTTTGTTTGAAGCAATGTAGCTGCACAGGAAATCTCAATATCTGTGGCCCACATGCCATTGCAACCCATTTTGTTTTTCACAATGTAATCCATTGTGTTATCCCCTATGAATCCGCTAAAGAAATTTATATGTTTTTCTTGAACCATAAAGGATATCATAACACTCCTGATTATTTGATGATATTGCTCATCATTACTGATTTCCTTGCTAAGACATCTAAAATAATATTTAGAATTATAAGTTGTTATTAATAAAATACCTGAAAAAACAGTTTCCATCACCTATAATTGGATCAACCTTATCAGGATCCCCCAAGCTTAATGATTTCTGATTTTGAGTATTTTGCGACACAATCAAAGTCATGCCTAACTTATCAGAATGATATTTTTTCCAATCTGATGTTGTAGGCTGGAAAACAAATGGAATCTTGAGAGGTTGATAATTATGAACAAGTTTATTCACTAAAATAAATTATATATTTTAAACTAAAAAATGTAATAGGTGTATTTCCCCTCTGTTGCTTATTAGAAGAATATGGACCTTTTTTAATAAATAAAATGTATAGTAACTAGTGTATATTACAACCTACCAAAAGCAAATTTTAAAGTTAGGGGTTCAGAGCTTGTACCTTTTGTCATATCCAGTCCCATATTGTTTGGTATATTATTACCTAAAATATAAAATTTACTTATATAAATGTAATTATGTTACTTGAGGACAACAAAATCTGGCTTGACATAGCATTTTTAGCAAAAGTATTGCAAGGTTGTGACTTGACCCCATTTTATTTGGTATTATATTATTACCTTAAATATAAAATTTACTTATATAAATGTTTTAGCTTGTTTGCCTTTGGTTTTAACGAATTTTCGACTATTTGCCCTTCTTCCACAGAAAGCATTCTTTGTTTAGGTAAGGATTGGAAAGTAATACTATCTATTTATATGAGTTATATTAATTTATTATAATGTATAATTATACTTAAATCATGATTACAGTGCTCATCAACCATGGTCACAATTTCTAAGTAATGTCCAGTGTCCTTATGTTTAAGGTATAATGTAAATTTAAAGGAACACTTCTTGCAAAATGTTGAGGAATTTCTGATACCCTTGGAGTTGCTTTTTTGAATTGTGCCACCATATTTGCAAGAATAATAAACTTTTCGATATTTTAAAAGATTTATAACGTCTACAGGATATGGTGCTTTTAGTAGATAGGACCTTGCTATATAGACATTTACAAAATTAGAATTCTCAAATTCTAAAATATCGCTCCAAGATGTAGCATCTATAAATATGTTTTGAATATTTAATTAAACCACACTTTATTATATATATTATATTACATGAGAACTAGGCAGAGGTATACCCTAAAATAATAAGACAAGAATTTAACAATTCCTTGAGAACTCTAAAAATTTAAAAACATCTTAATACCACATATTGGTGTTAACAGACTTTATACAATGTTAAATTAATAGTTTATTGCATACTATAGAATTAAAGTTTCTCATCATGAAGTAAGATATTTGTGTAATATATTATATAATCTATTTACTATTAACGAAAGTAATTAGCTTATAAAATAGATAACATTTAAATTCAAATGAAAAAGTATTTAGAATAAAATAAAATATCTGCATTTTATGTTTAATTATTGGAATTAAAAAAAATTGTTTACCTTTGTACTTTTTGTTTCTGTGCATTCCATATCAGTAAATTTATAGCAGAGAAGTATATTAAAAATTTTGCTCTAACCAGTGAACACCTATTATTTAAATTTAATATATAAAAAATATAAGCATGTATTTTAGGAATCTCTATCTGATAAATTAAAACAATATTGCTAATTGGTTAATTATTGAAATATAAACTAATGTATAATTCAGTAACTTTAAAAATAAAATCCAATTATAAAATGGATGATTTTGAATATCGCGGGTACAAGGAAATAAAAATATTAAATGAATGTGCGATATTTAATTTTTTCACAAAATATCGCTGGTGTTATGTTTAGTTTTTTCACTAAATATCACAGGTGTTATGTTTAGTTTTTTCACTAAATATCACAGGTGTTATATGCAGTCATGGCCTAAAAAAGTATTATATACAAGAATAAAATCTGGGAATTATTAGCCAAGCTGTATAATATGCCTGGTAATAATTTTGCATACATATTATATTTATAAATTTTTTTAGGTTCATCTCTCAAATCTCTCTGGAAAAATCTGAGAGATTGTTTTATAAAAGAGATGTAAAAGCTAAAAAGACTGAAAAGTGGGTCAGAGGGTGGCCATCACATCTCATGGCCATTCTATCAGGATATGCTATTGGTAGAAACCTTAATACCTAGATCACAGAAATCCTCTTTAGATATAGAGGAATGTACTACTAAATTTGCAAATGATATATTTAATGAAATAACAGGGGGTATACATGAATGTAATTAATTGATAAAATATATTTATTATTTAGGTGATCTCATTGATAGTGAGAATATATCAGATGATATATTTATTCCTAAAGATTCTGCAGCACTAAATCTTAGTAATGATTCTAGTAATTAACAATATCTAAAAATTTATATTATCTTTTATATAGAATATATGTCCTGTGTTGGGTCATCTAGTTCTTATTATAAATGTCCTAAGAGAAAGAACAACGATATGGGTAATTTATATTTTTTGATTTATTGATAAATTTTAAATTCATGACTATAGGAAATTAATGGAAATAGAAGCAGATAAAGCATTAATAACCTTGGAAATGCTTAAAAATAAATCAACAGAACATTCAATATGTTTAATGTTAAAAGAAAAATTAGATGATTGTACCAAAGAGGAAAAAAAAAGAAATAACAAATAAAATATTTGATATTATAAAAGATTATTGATTAAAATTATTTTGTATATTTTTTGTTATTTGAAATATATATTGTATGTATTTATATTATTTGAAATAAACATTTTGTGAAATACATTGAATGATATAATTATTCCCAAAAGTCCTGCATTAATTAAGCTTTGTACTGAGTTTGGTAATTAATGTCTAAATATATATTATTTATAATGGATGATCTTTATCTTAGAGAAAGTTTAATGACATTAGTAATTTATGTAAACTTGCTTTATAAAAATATTTTCAATAGATGAATTTAGAACAACTATATAGCTTTTTAAGTGACATATTCCTACATATATATTTTATGAGTTTAGACTATAATAATAACTTTATTTTTTATTATAATATAAATAAAATACAAAACAAGATATTTATAAAAATTAGATGATTGTACTGTACCAATCAGAAAAAAAAGAAATAAAAACTAGAATACTTGATATTATAAAAGATTATTGATTAAAATTATTTATAATATAATTTTGTTATTTGAAACTATATTAATAATAACTTTATTTTTATTATAATATATATAAAATACAAAACAAGGTATTTATATAAAATACAAAACAAGATATTTATATAACATACAAAATAAGATATGATTAAATTTATAAAAATCTGGATTTTTATATAAATATAAGCATAATCATGGAATGAATCAGAATAGCAGTGTTGATTTAATACTACATGAACCTTATGTTGCTAAATACCTAAATAAAAAATATATTTAAATAATAAATGGCTTTATTTTTACCTTAAACAAACCATATTCTTCAGCACATAGGATGTTTTATAAAATTGGTACATTTGGTATGTAATAAAGGTTTTACAAGTTTGAGTATATAATAAAAGGTTTCCTAAATTAAAATGAATTATAGATAAAATAGAATAAAATTACTTTAGTCTGAAAAATTTAGGCTCATTTTTTAATAGTTTAGGAAAGAGGACATTAAATTCGCCCTCTTTTGGTTTATTAATATTAAGATGGTTTAATCTTCTCCTCTTCAAGATCATTCTGTAAAAAAATAATAATTTGAGGATGGATACCATTTTGAATTAATAACGCTTTGCACTGCACTATAATGAAAATCGCTGCAAAATTGAAATCGCTCCTAGCGTAGCTTTGTTGTTTATTCAACGTCAGAGGGCATATGCGCTATATATCACGGATCACGGAAATATTAAAAGGTAAAATAAAATGCAAAAGCTCCTTTTAAGGCCTATAAATTCTATTATATACGCGAATAGGTTTATGTCGAAATCTGATAGTAAGTTTTATATTTATATTAATTAGAATATATTTCCAATAGTATTTTATCGAAAGCATTTGTCAATTAGTTTAAAATATTTAAAAGAACTTTATTTCTAATAGTACATTTTTATTTAAAAAACATTTAAAGCATATAACAAAGAAAATATTAAAGATGCAAAAGAAAATTTAGTAAAAACGAAATTTGATAATTCAACATATAAAAATGATGAATATTTTAAAAATAATTCTTGGACATTTTATGAGCAAATTGTGAGAGCTGAAAATGAAAGATTACCAAGGCCATCAAACAAAGATTGAATTTTTTTACTTATAAAACTAAACATTTTTCTTGATATATGTTCTGTAAAACTTTATTTGATATTTATTTTGCTGTAATTTTATATCTTAATAAATAAGTTTATAAAATTACACAATGTTAAGTTGGACAAAATATTGATTAAATATGTAAAATACATGGCCATCATATATATTTTCTTGTTAGACCATATTTATGATGTAAAATCCTATTTTATTAAGAGAATTTATGATATAAAATTTACAACATTTTTCTATAAAATATTAAGCTTATGTCCAAAATATATGGTATGCATGTATTATATTTTTAAAATCTTTCATAAGACATCAATGTATAACTATTTAACCCTGATCCATTGTTTGTGTGATATTCAGTTTATTGAAATGGGGTGAGGGAGGGACATGTATCTTAATTTAAATATGATATGAAACATATGATCTATAAAATCTTGGATATCAATTTAATATTTTAGAATATTGTAATTAATTTGATAATTTTTTTAAAAAAATATCCCATTTTTGAAAAGCACAATTTTTAAAATTGTGATTAAAAAAATACTATAAATAAAAATTAGATTACTTTAAAAATAATGTTGCAATATTTATATATTATAAATTTTAAACCTGAAAGCTTAATGTATTTGTTCTACTGGTTTATTTAATTCATTAGTGGCATCAGACAAGGGATGCATGGTTGGGGTTGTCCCCACCCCCCACCCATTAAAAAAATGAACTAAATATAAATTTATAAGTCATTGAAAAGAACAATCAACACCTAAAAAGAACATAGAATCATATATTCAATATTATTTGGAATCACAGAAAAACTTTAATAAACATTCATTTTTGAATTTTTAATTAGCACTTGGCATAAGATATGCTTATTTTTTATTTATTGATTAGAAAAACTAGTAGGTACTCATCTTTACCTAACACAATTTCATTGATAATTTATTTCTTTATATTTAAACTATCTACCAAATGGGTTAAAGCACTAAAAAGTATGAAATACACACTAATTTATTGATATAAATGAGATTATGCTTCCATATCTTTGGATGACTTTATAAGTTCTGTTTGTATTTGATTTGTATTTGGTTACATAGTATTATTATTGTTGAATATGTTGATCGATGTTATTTTATTATTTATTTTGGCAATTGATTTATTTTTTATATATCAATTTGTATTTAAATTTAATCGGTGAAAATTTTATATTAACATTTTTTTTATACATAAATTTGTATTAGTTATTTTTTTTATTATTGTTTAAAAAAAAGATATATAAAGAGATAAAAAAAAATGTGATGGATCTTAAAAAATAAAAATGTAATTTATCAGATAATAAAAAATAAAATGTATTATAATTATCTAACTATAATAAAACGTGGAATTAATTTAATTTCAACAATTATATATTGTTTTGTAGCTATAAATCAAATATTAATATAATGAAAAATTTATATTAACTTTGTTAAATATATTAAATTGATTGAATATATATGCAAAAAAATCTATATGAAATAATCAATTTACAGATTATTTGCTTTTAACTTCAAAATACTATACGAAAAATTACCTTTTAAATCATCGTTTTCTTTTTGATATAATTTACCTTTGATTATTTGTTTTATTTAGTGTTGTAAACGACATACGAAGTTCGTTTTTAAATGATGAACGGCGTTCCTTTTATTTTTGACGAACTTTGAACGTGAACGCGTTCCTTTTTTATGACGAACGCTTTCGAATTTAACGTTCGTTCAATTTTAAAAATATTTTTATTATATTTATTTAAAAAATTTAATATTTCCGAATTTTTTTAAAAAATGTATTATTTATATTTTTTAATCGGCTGTGTATTCTTTTCACATTTCAATCTTTTTAACACATAGTTTATTAATTTGAATATTATTGTTTATATTTTAATTTAATAGATTAGCATAAGCATGGATATTATTATTTATTCCTCATCATCTGATTCTGAAAATCCAAAATCAGATGAATTATCATTACCATGGCCAAATATGATAAATGTTTTACATTAATTGAAGGAACTAATCCAATGCTTGCCAAGTGTAAAATGTAGCCAAAAAGTTTATTGTCAAAATCTTCAGGTTCCAATTTAAAACAACATTTGATTTTAATATTAATTATTTGATTTTATATGATGTAACTAAGTTAAATCATTAAATTTGAACAAATAATGTATTTGGGATATTTGACCACAACAATAACGATAGTTATTTAAAAATTAAAAAAATTAGTGGCCTCTATGGTCAACCATTGATAGACGCCTTATTAAATGGGATTAATAAAAGGTATTAAACCTATCACTCTCAATTAATTACATATTATTTTTTAAAGATTTGAACATATTATATATAATGATCAATATGTTATTTCTGCAATTATACACGCAGCATTCAAACTTCAATGGCCATGGATAAAACTTACACAGAACGAACCTATTAAAAATAAACTTATAGCGTTAGTGAAAAAAATGCATTGAAAACCCTAGAGAACTGTTAATTTCGAGATATCATTTTTTTTGTCGAGAGTAAAGAATGGATTGGAGGATATAAAATTTTGAACGGTTTTATGAACGTGAACGGTTCGATTTTTGTCAATGAACGTTGAAAGCGTTCGATTTTTCTAGAAATGTTTACAGCACTAGTTTTATTAAATACGTTGTCCACGTTTAATCCTTATATAAAACATAGTTGTACTGAGCTAATCCCTATCTTAAATTACAGCAGTAACTTTTTTTTGTAGCTGGTGAAATTGGTTAAAGAATTATTAAGAGACTAGATATCAAGGCAGACCAGATAGTCATAACTTTATTCTCCATTCTAACATGATGCTAATTTTGAAAAATTTTTCCCTTAACATCTACCAAAGAGAATAAAACGATAAAATGTTCTAATAAAGCCTTACTTAATGGTTTTGATAAATTTTATTATATCGTTACAAAATTATATTTTATTTAATCATCTTTACAATTTTCTTTTCCACTATAACAATAAGAATCAATAATTAGTTTTATTTCGATCCCCTGTTACGAGTTTTTATCAACTATATATGATATTTTAATACAATTACGTGATATATAGCGCTTTTGATCTCTAGCGTTGAAGGTTCAACAGAGCTACGCTAGGTTTTCCTCGTTTCCATCTAATTGGAAAAATTTAATTTGTGTATAAATATGAGGTGCCCTCCACATGTTTGTGGGCAAGCCGCACGTACTTGTAGGCACAACATTCCGAATAATGTTGCTTATACTTCTATAGGCTTATTAAAAAGGAGTGGGGAAAAAAAAGAGCCTATACCCGAGAACTACAGTATAATTAAATTACTTTAAGGGTGGGTGGTGGTTGATGTGTGTTTTAATAATTACTATCAATATCGAGATTTAATGTTCATAGAATCTGTAAATAAATATATGATTATATAAAAAAATTTGCCTGATTTTCTTTTAGGTGACTTCGTTTGAAGAACTTTTTGCTATCTAATGATGCCACATTGAAGGGGTGCAAAGTGGTATGGATCTAACCAATTTTCTTATTCTTCCAAAAATTTTGCACTGGATGAACCTCACCCATCTTTTTAATTTTTAAATCAGAGACCTAGAGCGGCGGATACATGGGCCGGGCAAATGGTACCTGTGAGGTAGTGTTGTTAAAACACCTGGAGTCGCGACCTCGACCCGAGTTCAAGCAGAAAAAACGACCTCGACCCAAAATATGGGTCGTTTTTTTCGACTCAGACTTTAAGTTTATTTTTTAAGGCAAATATGTAAAAATATATTTTGCAAACATGTTAAATTAAAATTTCATTGAAGATGTACCATAGGAAAGTGACAATTGTCATAATCGTCATTTTTGAACTTTTTTAAGGCAATTGGGTAAAAATATATTTTGTAAATATGTTAAATTAAAATTTCATTGAAGATGTACCATAGGAAAGTGACAATTGTCATTTAGCTAGTTTATAATTTATATTTTAACCATTTTCTTCAAAATATTCCAAAAAAATTATCAACATGGCTATTTTAATTTTTTCAAGGTTTTTCATCACTGAAAAATTGATTTAACATGTTTACAGTAAATATTTTTATCTGTCTGCTTCAATTAAATTGAAAAAAATGACGATTATGACAATTGTCACTTTCCTATGGTACATCTTCAACGATATTTTAATTTAACATGTTTGCAAAATATATTTTTACCAATTTGTCTAAAAAAAATTCAAAAAAGTTAAAAAATGACGATTATGACAATTGTCACTTTCCTATAGTACATCTTCAATAAAATTTTAATTTAACATGTTTACAAAATATATTTTTACCCATAAAAATTCAAAAATGACCATTATGACAATTGTCTTCCTATGGTACATCTTCACTGAAATTTTAATTTAACATGTTTACAAAATATATTTTTACCATTTGCCTTAAAAAAGTTCAAAAATGACGATTATGACAATTGTCACTTTCCTATTGTACATCTTCACTGAAAATTTTTATTTAACATGTTTGCAAAATATATTTTTACACATTTGCCTTAAGTCGAAAAAAACAACCAAACTTCAAGTCTGAGTCGAAAAAAATGACCCATATTTTGAGTCGAGGTCGTTTTTTCGGCTTGGACTCGGGTCGAGGTCGAAATGACCCATATTTTCAAAACTTGGGTCAGCTCTGTTCGAGCCGAC